GCTTGTGGAAAACACATGCATGACGTACAGCAGTGGAGATGGCTGTCATCACAGATGGCCCTTGGTGCTTCTGGAGCAATCTCCATTTTCCGGCTACCTCGTCCAGCTCATCTCACACTGGTTAGCTCTCCAAGGCTAATAAGTGTCACATTCAACTCCCCGGAACAGTTGGCCATAGCACTTCAACGGTGGTAAGAGACCAAGGGGAAAATGAGAGGAAACATCCGATGCTGCGAAAGCAGACTCCGAACCATAAGGAGGCAGCAAACTGAGGCTTTAATACGTCCCCAAGCCTCAGTGAAACTAGAGCGATGCAGTACTCAAAATAGCAGTCTGTGTCACCCAAGTGTCCTATCTGAATCCATGGAAACAAAATAAAATGGGCCGGTTTCATCGGAATTGGCCAACTAGTCCCAACATTAAGTCCTCTACCAGCAGACAGCTTCATATCAACTACCCCACAACACACTGAGGTTGTGAGACTCACTGTCAGCTGCCTATATAACAATTCGAGAGGATTGAGAGGAAAAGAAGGCGAACTCAGAAATCTCCAATCACACCTACAACTTAAAATAATAATTCTCACTGAAAACTGGCTAACCCCACTGTCGCCGACAACGAAATCAGTATAGGTGATATGGTTCTGGCCAGGAGAGACAGGGATAATAAGGAAAGAGGGGAGATGCTATATACTTGGGCAGGCAACTTAAATGTGTACGTGCAACGGAACCACCACTTATTGAACTCCCAGACTCCATATGGTGTCATTTCACCGTAGGCTACACGACGTATTTACTAGGTGGCATCTACCGATCACCCAGCTGTGGGGCAGAGCACAACCAGCTTCTGCTCAGCACCACCACAGGGATACGGGACTTGATCAAGTCACCATAGTTGCAGATTTCAATACCCCATCACTGAACCTTGGCTCGGGATATGCTAGGGGAAAAATCTACTACAAACTATTCAAAATACAGGACTAACTGAGAATGTCGGAGACGACACTAGGGGGGGGCTCTAGTGAAAAGACATCGAAACTAGACTACATTCTAAGTAATGACCAACTACTCGTCGAAAAGGTCAAGATCCTGACTCCTCTAGGAAGTAGTAACCATGCAGTTATAGGTTTCGATCTCGTTCTCCGTAAGCACTTTGCAGTGGGAAGTGACGCGACCATGTCTGTGTTATTGCAAGCCGGACAATGCTGAAATGCGGAGGCTTATGTCCGACGCAGACTGGCCCTTAGCATGAGATGGGTTATCTGTGGATGAACACTAGGAAGTGGTAAAAAAGGTTATTCATACAGCAACCTCGGATACCGTCCCTTTAGTCACAGTGGTTAGGATTCTCGCCGACCATGCACATGGTTCGGGGTTCGATCCCCCGCCGACGCACACCCGATATCTATGGTCGGCCTGCAAAATTTGGGCTACCGATATCCATGCTGAAAATGCCATACTTGTACTGAAAATACGATGTGGCATGAAGCTGTAATCAAAAATTAAATTAAACACAGCCTAAAAGAAAGTCATCATGGCTGAAGAGAGGCACGCAACGAATTCTGCAAGCAAAGCGGAGGGTTTGGTTTACGTGGCGCGAATCTAAGATTCAGACCGACCACGACGCCTACCTGGAACTCAGAAACCGTTGCAATGCGAGAGTCAGGAGTGACAGGAGGTCATTCCAGGCTAACCCTGCCAAAAAACTCCTAGCAAACCCCAAAAACTTGCATTGATTCATGTCGGAAAGAAAACCAACCAACCAGGGGGTATGCGTCTTAGCAGGTCCAAAGGGTCAATATCTCACTGGTCTGGAGATGGCTGAAACACTAGGTTTAGCCTTCGCCAAACAGTTAAACAGCAATGTGGGTATTACCAGTACGGACCAAAATGGTGGTGGAGGAAGACCTAGTGGCTACTCCCCAAATAAATCCCACAATAGTACCAAGGAAGCTACAGTGAATCACACCTGGGAAATCCCCAGGTTGTGACGACATCAGGCCATCTGTTCTGAAACAGTGTGTCGAAGCTCTCTGCAGGCCCTTATACGACTTGTTCCAACACTCAATGCATTCGGGGAAACTGCTAAGGGAGTGGAAAAGAACCATCCTTTCTCCGATCTTCAAGGGAGGGGATAGGCAAAATCCAACTAGTTATAGACCAGTGGCTCTACTCCCAGTGGTATCGAAATTACTGGAAAATATTTTTGACGATCACATCAGGGATTACCTCGATAGGTCTAATATACTTCGTGAAGCCCAACACGGTTCCAGGAAAGGCAGATCCTGTGTAACAAACTTGCTATCAGCTTGGGACGATTGGACATCATGCTGGAGTATGAATGTTCCAGTCCATGTAGTCTTCATAGACTTTGAGAAGGCACTTGACACCACGACCTTCTCCTACACAAAATAAGCCATGCTGGTATAGGTAAGCCACTTCTGTCATGGTTAAAGGACTACCTAGCTGAAAGGAAATTTTACACTAAGGTCAGCCGAGTCTGATCATCTTGACACAGCTCGTCATCAGGAGTGTCGCAGGGTTCTATCCTAGGACCACTGATGTTTTTGATTTTTATCAATGACCTGCCATGCCGTCTAAGCTGCCCGACTCCTCTATACACTGACAACGTGAAGACATGAAGGGCAATAAAGTGTCCGGAGGACTGCATGCAGATGTAAAGCTTCTGGAAGACTGGGCGGGGGCTAGTGGCATGAGTTTCAACCTGAAAAAGTTCAGAGTAGTCAAATTACGCACCTGTAGACTGCAGAATACAAGTTACACCCTGTGTAATGAAAGCTTGTTCTGCACAACGTTGGAGCGCGACTTGGGTATAGTTCTAAAAGAAAAAATGAAGACAGGAGTAAATTACACGGAGGGGCATATGCGGTCATACACTTTACACATAGACAGTTAGGTGCACTCACTCCTGAGCTCTTTCTAAGGTTGTACAAAACATAAGTCAGATCACACCTTGAAGTGCATAATATTATCGCATCCCCACTGCTTAGAAGAGACGCCAACCTCATGGAAAGAGTCCAACGACGGGCAACAAAAGGAGTGGTTGGTCTTCGAAATAAACCGTATGACGAAGGGCTGAAAAAATTAGGCCTATTCACGCTTGGCTACTGTCGACTTAGGGGGGATTTGATTAGTGCCTACAAAATAACAAATGACCAGAATCACCCAAACAAAGGTGTTCTGCCATTGAGTAGGTATAGGCTCCCTCGTGGAAATCTTAGAAGGATAGCGTAAGGACCCAGATGCGCTCCCACTTCTTTTCACTGCGGGTTTGCCGTCCATGGAATTCCTTACCGGTGGATGTAGCTTTGGCACCGTCTGCGGACGCCTTTAAGCGAAGGCTGGACAACCATGCAGCGACACAAGGACTGCCTATCCCTTTAAAGTCCCATGCACCATTCGGGGTAGACAACTAAGTTCGTCGTTTTACTTCTTTACATTCTCTACCGTCTTACTCTCTTGAAAACTTTAATTACACTTATTAATAATATTACATATATATACCAACTTCAAATATAATCAGCTAACTATTATTTCGTTTTATTTACTTCTTTTTCCGTCTGTTATGCTGAATAACTTCACTAATTATATACATCAATATAATTCTCTCCTTTCTTTTGACGACGATACCGGAGGACTAACTGGTGAAAGGATCAACTCCATTCACAGTAGTAACAGTCTTAACACACCTCATACTACAAACCACATTTAATTAATCCCAGCACTACTCCTTTTGGAGTCAACCAAAGCTACACCAGTCGAGTGGAGAGAAGAGCTACGCAGAAGTTTATCGAAGATCAGGAACCTATACCTCAAAATCAAGAGGCGGGCACAAAGAAATCAAATTGGTTTATACTAGCTCGTAAAAAAGATATTGGAAAGTCACAAACAGAATAACCCTTAGTGACAGAATATATGAGGTTCATTTAGATTGATAGACTTCTGTTCCCTGCTGTCCATACAATACAGCAGGGTTAGTTATCAGACCTCTCGTCCTCTCCTGCGAAATGGCTTGTTTCTACCTGAGAAATAAAATTATTAGTCCTGTGGGGAAATACCCTACTTGTCAATGATGTCTTAGTATATCTTGATATAGCATACTTCACATATGCTCCATAGCTTAAGATGTGCAACTGCAGAAGTAAGGAGTATGATCTTTTCAGCCGTCTTTCATAAGACACCATTCATAGTCTCCATCATAAAGAGTGGTGTGGTGAAGGATACAGAACTTTGTTTAGACTAGAAGGTCAAAGGTTGATACGTCCCGATGACCAAGATTCCTACCAGTTCACTGTAGGGTTTACAACCCATGTAGCAAAGTAACATCCATTTCCTCAGAACCAGGATGGGGAAGTCAAAGTGACTTTCATCCTCTACAGAAATACAACTGAGAAACGAGGACGATACCTCCAGGACATGACTTCATGACGGCTGAAATTATCCCGCATGCTCAAGGTCATTGATGGAGTGAGACGCTCAAAGGTCATTTTCGTCCATGTTACTCGGTTATGTTGGATTGCAGTTCCGTAGCCATTCGTTTACACACTGGTTTTACGTTCTGTTGGCATTTATAGGTGATTACCATGTACTGATAGTATTCTTTTGTAAAATATACTGTTCTTCACACGAAAATAGCCACATTTTGACGTAGTCTTCATTGAATGACACTATGTCGAAAGCTGCAGCTTCTACAAGAAATAAACTATTTGTGTAGATGACATTACCCCCCAACTACCCCATCTTCTGCATTGTAGAGATGTTTTGATGCATTCAGCATGAAACACTAATCATTACAACCAATGTGCTAAGTGTGTCGCAGTCAGATTACATGACGCGGACACCAACATAACTAGCCAGGAAATGAGAATTCCTATCAATCCAGAAAACATATAACAAAATTTTATTAAAAATTATTGACAAAAAAAATTTGCCGAGCGAAATTTCAACCAACATGCTGGATAAGTCCAGCCCTTCATGACCTAAAAATTAAGTTTGACATTGTCATAATATTGATATCGGATCCTGAATAAAAATTTATATACAAAAATGCAGTCTAGTTGATTTCTATAAGTTTTCCCATTGCATTCGGTTAACCTCATACTTTCAGTTACTTAATGTAGCCATATAAAACACCCGGGTTTTCAACTCGGCAAACGCGTTCACATTGTGATTAATTAATTTTTGAGGTATCCTATTTTTTCTGTTTATTTTGCAGTTATACAAACAGTTTATTATGTTGGTTTAAACCCAGCTTTGCTATCATAGAGTGAGAATTCAAGCTGAAATACGAGGTAGCCGTAATAACACTAGTTAGCATAAATGATTTACAAAATTAGTCTGGTTTTTCGTCATTCCTTGCTTAACAATGTCAAACTATCCACTAATTGTCCATAAGGTCAATCCTCAAAGAAGTTGAAAAAAAAGAATTTAACAGAACCACGGTTTCTAACATCGCATTCTTAGCATTCTTATGACATTGACCGGACAACCTATATACGTAGCTACATTTCACTACATGTCTCAGACCATTAGTTAGTGATTTCATGACTGGTTATATGATTGAAACTGACCGCCCCCAACTCTTTCCCAAATTAGTTCCAGCTAAGTTAATTCTATCTTTTGATATACATGACACGTTGTCATCGCCTCATGATGCAATTGATTGCAACCAACGTACATTCACCATCGTTAAATTGTAATTCAGTGAATAACTATTCATTGAATTTTCCACAGTTTTATCCACCAGTATGCTTGGAATTAAACTGAATTAAAGCGGTTACAATCAACACCATACATGCAATTCAACTCCACACCAAGATGCAGTGTTATGAATCTTGATCGTTGGTCACCACCTACTGATGCTTAAGGAAATGATACATCTGGTTTCATTTACGAAGTAATTAAGAGATCCGAAAACACCTAGCCTTATATGATTTACATACTTCTCTAGGGGCTATTTGTCAATCTAATAAAACACCTCCCGGTTACCGCCACTTACGGAAAGTCAGTAACATTTTAACTTAATTTTCAATGCCATTACGCTAAGTTTTGAATGGAACGTAGACCTGGCTTTTCAAGGCTGTTGATACGAAGTACTTTTTTCTGTGAGGAAAACTGTCTAATCGATGAGAATTAAGGTGAAATATGCTAAGTGCTTAACACTTCTTGTTGTTCTTATTTGTGATGTAAGTAGACTTGTAACTGATTTTTTGTATTTAATTTACGGACAACGTTGATTTCCTGAGGAATTACGTTTGAGTCTCACGAGAGGTGCTTAAGCCACCACTGATAACTAGTCTCGAAATGAATTTACCAAAGATTTCATGTGAAGAAATGACCCGTAATGTTTTATTTTATGTGGTGACTCGTATTCATCAATGTCATAGGATAGTAGTGATGTCACGTTTTAAACTGACAAGATTTAGGAGTCACGAGTCACAAGACTTCAATCCGATCGGTGAATATTTGGTAAAACTTCACTAATTCAGTGACGAAGTGGTTGTGTCAACCGATGGCGGGGCCCTCTAAAGAGAACCACAGGGAATAGGGCAAAGCAAAGATGTGCTATTGAAGCCCTATCCTTCACCCAAAACCCGAGGGAACAACTAGTAATAACCAGCACGGATACGTAAGATCTGTTTGACGTTTGCGAACTTGCTTCCTCTTTGTCAACGACTTAAAATTCGTCTACCCATTGAAGGTCGTCAGTATTCTGCCACAGAGTCCCCCTTTCTGCTCTGCAGTGGCGAGATAGCTGTTGAAAGTGGACGACTGTAAGAAACTGATCGCTTTTAACCATAGGTTTTTGCCTTCACTTCCTTGTATGAGGTGATACAATGTGGTCACTAATAACGAGATTAGGTTTTTTGTTGAGGTAAAGAGGAAAAATGAGTCCGATATGTTATAAAGCTGCACAGGTCAAGATGGTCAGGAGGTTTATCACGTGTATCGACTTGTTATCTTCAACGAGATATTTTAGTAATAGATTCGATAAGGGTTAGGGATAGTCAAAGGAAAACCTAATACTAATTCATAAAGTCTTAGAGCCACGTTAAATGTAGGTTGAAAATCGTTGGTGATATAGATCCAGATCGCCGTAAATCCCACAGATGTATTCACTCCTTGTGATCTTGCAGATCCTAAATGTCCTTACTAGTCTTCATTTTAAAACAAGACATGTAAGCGAATAATATTGTTTTCAGTTAGTTGTCAGGCTTTACTGGAAGGCACATAGCTTTATACATAAAATTTTTTTTAACCAGTTACGGTGAATTTGCGGATTAAACATTGGCGTTAAATGTTGTCAGCAGTAACGACAATTATAATAATAGTCATAATAATGATAAGGACAGTGTGATAGCAAAATTACAAGCGGTTGACGTAGGAGGCGACAACCAGTGTTAGTAACTAGTTACTGACTAGTGTCCGATCAAAAAGTATCCAATGCAGTCTTATAAATCGATCGCGAGCCCAAATAGCTCAGTGGTAACATCTGACTGCAGCACTGGCTGATGCGGGTTCTAATCGCAGAAGGGACATGAGTTCCTTCAAGGTTGCAGATACGTCTTGCTGACTGGTAAGTGCCAACAAGCACAAAACCTAGGTCGAGGGCTTTGTGCTGGTCACTTCCAACCACCTAATACCAATGTGGGCAATTCAATAATTAGGTCAAAATCTTACAAAATTACAAGTTGCGCAGTATCGAAGATGAAGTGGATAGATAAAATCTAAGCAAAAATCATAGAAGTGTAGGGGCGAAGGTGGGCAGTCTTAATTCGTTCATTAGATTTACCTAGGCCAAGGGAGAGACAAGTTGAGAACAAACTTTTGTGTGTGAAGACTACATGATTATTCTACCTCCTGTAAATTTCTGTTTGCTTTAGTTTCAATGTGTTTCTTTCCCTTTAATTTGTGTCATCTTATGTACTGTAACAGCCTAAGCTGCCTCACTTTTGTACAAAGTTCAGTTCATATTGATTTTTTGGCGATGAGACTAGACCCTTTTATTCACAAATTATATCAAATTCCTCAAGTAAACTTAATTATTTGATTATAGTATGTGTGTAAAACAGAGCTTTTTCGTTTTGGTTACCGAGTGATGTAATAAGTACCAACTTAGTAGTGGATATAAATGATTTAAGATCGAATGTGCATTACATTCTGTGTATTCATCTTTTGAAATTGATTACCATAAATGGGATGCAGTTGCTTAAATCTGCAAAGTTTGAGATTTTCCATCCATGGCTGTGTTTCTAGCTGAGGAACTACCATGTAAAGTGAAAGGTAGTCAACTACAGGTGGCAAATTCATGTAATGGCGTGGACTGTTCAAATGACTTGACTAAATGTGATTGCCTTTTTGAATTTTTATGCTTTTGCATAATCTAATTAAATGTTTCTCTTTGATATTTTTTCATAAACAGGTATAACTATAGTATTCAGTTTTTTGTTTTGTTCAAAAGATGTCGTCTACTGCTGAACCGAAATTATCTAAATTAGACCATCGGCTACAGGCTGCCATCAGTGGACGACGTTTTTATGAAGCTCATCAGTTATACAAAACAATACACTTCCGTTGTATTATGCGAAAAAACTATCAAGAAGCGCTAAAATATCTTAAATCTGGTTCTGAATTTCTACTCGATAATGAACAATGGGAAAGTGGGACAGAATTAGCCTGCCTTGTCCTAGATGTATACAGTCAGAGTGGATCACTTCTAACTGAATCACATTTAGCCGAAGTGTGTGAACTATTAATCCGAATGACACCTGGTGAAGAAAGAACCCGATTTATCAGTAAAGCACTACAATTACTTCAAAAACAAAAAGATCTCTTGGCTAGTTTCAATGGTTATTTAGCTCGTGTCTTATGGCAAGAAGGATCATTTAGTGAGGCAAGACTACGCATTATGCTATCATCGAATGGTTATGCAGCTGGTAGTTTTCTTGTCGCATTACACCAACGCTATGGATTACGATCAGAGATTGATTTGTTTATTGCACAAGCTGTTCTCCAATTTCTTTGCATGAAACAGACCACTGTAGCGATTATTACATTTTACACCTATACAAGAGGACATCCTCGATTAGAGCCGGGACCACCGTTTACACACTTTCCATTACTTAATTTTCTATGGTTTCTTATGTTAGCCATTGAAAAGAAGTGTAGTCTAGCGGTGTTTTCTGTCCTGTGTGAAAAATACAGTCCACAGTTGAATAGAGATTCATCGTATGTAAAGTATTTAGATAAAATTGGTCAATTATACTTTGGTGTAAAACCGCCAACCAATGAAATGAATAATTTTTTCTCACGAATTATGCAAATGTTTAATGATGGTGGTGATAAACTCGACGATTCAATGCTAAATGAAGGGTCAAGTTGTTATGCTGCATTAAATAATATCAATGATGTAAATTCATCACCGGATGAAATGTGTTTTGAAGATGTGGATTAAGCACCTCTCTTCTCTGTCTCTATTTATTCCTATCTAGTTAATACACAGTGCCTTTCAGTTAACAATGGATAACATATATATATGAAACAACATCTCGTTTCCTTTCTTTTTTGTATAACTGGATGAAGTGATTACACACAACTCGACCTTCTCCTATATGCCTACTTTCTTTATTGGCGATAATAGACGCGCGGCGAGAGTGGCCGGAGGAGGTCAACTTGTCTTGTTTTAAGGTTGTGTTTCTGTAAACTGACCGATACACGAACACCCTGAGGGTTTACTCTCTTCTTCTTCTTCTTGTTCTTATTCTAATGGGTATTTAATACATCAAAAAACCCTAGTCTTTGTGGTCAATTCTATTCTTTTCTTCAATCCCTCTTGCCTCTTATTCTGCTTTCTTCTTGTCTTGTATTGTCTTGTTTTTCTGTCATATTTCTCTTTCGAAAAACAAAATGCACAAAATGTTTTCTTGTCTACTATTTTAAATAAATTGAATTGTGTACAGATTTTGTATTATGGTTTTAAATTTTGTTTGTTTGTTTGTGATTGTATGTGTTTGTGCATGTGTGTGATGCAACTGTTGTATACAATTTTTCTATTGAGTATTATCAACGTGTCGAACAGTGTTAGCTGACACTTATGGTTGGGTTGGGAAAGGAGATAAGGCCGGTCAGACCAGATCAATGTTCTGGACTGTTGGTTTGAGCCAGCTGCGCAGAGAGATTGAGGTCTTTTGGACGCTAAGGACCACCAATGGTTGAGGACTGTTGTTGTTGTTGTTGTGGTGGTGGTGGTGGTTGAAAAGCTTTCTCATTTGAGCAGATGCATTGCATCCATCTTTGTAATCTACCGAATCTGTTAAGTCCTTATGTTTTTTCGCCATATTACTCCCCTTACTCCGATACACTTCTGTTCATAATAGGTCATGTGAATTTCGTTTTTCTTCCTTTTGTACTTTTGTGTGTTGTATGGAGCGTGGCAAGTTGAGCCGCTGCACTTCTGTACAAAGTTCTCTATTGAAATTCATTCAGTGTTAAGGTTATATATCTTTTTAACATAAAAATAGTATTAGTCATTTATTAGCCAGTGTACATGTGTGTAGTGGCGGGTGTCCTGCTCAGCAGTCCGCACCGTCCTTCTTTATGGCTGTGAGACATGGCCATTAAGAGTAAAAGACATGAAAAGACTATCAGTCTTTGATCATAGGTGCCTGCGTTCTATCTCCCATGTGAAGTGGTATAATAAGGTGAGCAATATTGAGGTTAGGTATCGGTCGAGTGCTAGGTAAGGAGGGGAAATCAATCGACGAGGCTGTGAAATTACATCGACTGAGATGTGTTAGGACATGTGTTACGTATGACCAGCCTAACCATCGCCTTCCTCGACAATGGGCAATGTTAGCTGGCTGACATAGGGTCAGGCTGGAAAAGAGCTAGCGGCGGTCAAACCAAAACATGGCTTCATCAGTCAATGAAATCCACAACAGTTAGTTTAAGCGATGTTAAAAGGTGTAAACTTCCTGACTGGTTGGGGTCCTCGGGATGACGGTAAAAATCAATGGCTGGGAACAATCGGTGATGTGGCTCAAATTGATCGTTCTCAATGGCTGGTGCAGATGCACCCACTCCTTGTGATTTATAATTTCCTATGAAACTATGTTATTCTTCGTTATTACCATTCCTTTCGTCCGATATCTCTGTTTACTGTGTCTATTATGCATTTCTTTTACTTTCTTCTCTTGTTTTGTGTGCTACATGGAGTGTGGCGACTTGAACTGCTGCACTTTGGTGCAGAGTTCTATGTCGAAAACGGACAGAGACAGAACAGTAGTGGCTGACTGAGTTTCAATATAGAACTTAGCACATAGGCACACCAGTTCAAGTTGCCAGACTTCATGTGGCACACAAAGGCAGAAAAAAAAAGAGAAAGGATTCACAGAAGGACTATAATAAGCAGAAAATTGTGAGGGAGAAAGAATAGTAAGATTGAAAAAACATTAGGGTTTAATAGATATGGGGAATCAAAGAGAGTGATTGCCTCTGGACCTCACTTAGAACGATTTTCATCCATACCAACAATTTTCTCTTTAGTCAATTGATTCTTAGCATCCTGAGGAAATCAACCCCTGGCAGTATACACCTCCTTATGTTGATCATACTGGTTGTCGAATATTTCATGGATTGTTGCCAGGTCTTGGTTTGATCACCACTAACTCGTTTCCATCCTAATTTTTTTACTTTTCTTTTCTTTTTTTTCTTTTTGATTACAGCTTGATGCCACACTGTATTTTCAGTACAAATATGGCATTTTCAGCATGGATATCGGTAGCCCAAATTTTCACAGGCCGACCATAGATATCGGGTGTGCGTCGGCAGGGGATCGAACCCCAGACCATGTGCATGGTCGGTGAGAGTCATAACCACTGTGCTACCGACGCACAGTGTCAGTTAACTTTAGCCGTCGAGGAAGGTGGTGGCAAGATATGCGTTACACATGTCCTAGCCATCTTAATCGATGTAGTTTCACAACCTCATCCATTGACTTTGCTTCCTTAGCTACCACTTTCCACCTAACCTCAGTGTTACTCACCCTATTATACCACCCAATATGGGAGATAAAACACAGACACACCTATGATCAGCGACAGCTACCCTTTTCATATCTTCTACTATCTATGGTCATGTCTCACAGGCATGAGGGAAGATTGAACGAACTGCTGCGCAGTGCACATGTCTTTTGGTCGTTAGCCGGCCGAATATCACGTCAACTAGACCAGAGATGACTTAATTTGGCAAGTAAATGCTACACCATCCTTTTGTATCTGTGCTAAGATTTTGTGAGCAGTCAGTCCGCTAACACTGATGCAGCTTCCCAAATGAGTGAAGTGATCAACATGCGTCACCTCTTCACTCCTCATCTTTTAGTTAGAGGAGTCGGTTTAGTCCAGTCGCGTAGCATCATCGTGACTGACTGATTGGTTTCATTGTAGAACTTTGCACCGATGTGCAGCAGTTCGAGTCGCCACACTTCATCGTCATCGCGAATCGCATGCCAGACATTCGACGATTGTTACTCAAAGTGTTCAGAAGACTGCATTTTATCAGCGTCTTCACCTAGAAGGATTATATCATTCGTATATTCTAAGTCGACAAAACTATTCCCTAAGTCTCTGAATTCAGTTAGGGTCAGTTCCATTAGTGCATCTATGATAAAATTATACGGGGATGGGCAGTAGAAGATGCTCTTTTGTTTTAAACTTTCTATTCACCCACATATACCAGTCTTAATTCGCTAAAAGATAGAAACTATAGGTATACTTCTTTGTTTTTTAACCGAAATTCCATGATAGAATGAATTTATTGGATAAAAGCCCAAATTGAAACAGTATTATTTTTACTTATTGATGACGTTATGAGCACAATGTGTTGCTCATAATCCTATCTAAGCGCTCACTCATATAACTCTCAAAAATTTCTTTATGTAGTTCCATTATTTCTTATCCTTCCTTTGTTCGTACTGGTTGTAATATCCTTTTTCCGTATCTTTGGTATCGGCGTTGCGTCATTCTCACTGCACATGTCAGGTGTAAGTTCGATGAACAAAGATTCAGCGATCAACTTCTTCCTGCACTTACCCATATTACTTTTGATAAGTGTATAGCTCTGTGCCACTCTATTGTGTAACCTTGACAGTCATTACGAGGCATTTTGTAGATTACATTATTTTGCCTAATTGTGTCCGCAGTGCCCTTTAGCCTACATAGCTTGTTGCTGAGTGTGTTTGTAGGTTTAAATGCCATCCTAATTCCTCCCCTATGAAGAATCCTACGTAGGGTTTTGGTAAAATTGTAGATGCCTTAAACTCATTCTTATTTATATTATGGTCAGTAGCTACCCCCCCCCCCCACTATTTTACTTTTGTTTGTGAGCTGTTTTGTGATCTTTTTAGCGGATTTTATGGGATAGTTTATCTGTATCACCAATGCTTTTTTTATCTATTTCACCTCATTATTTAGGTTTTCTGATGTACTACTAAGAGTTGTTACTTATTGTTTGTTAGAGATGCCTAACTAAGCCTGCTTTTACCAGATAACAGATGAAATGACTTGAAATCTAAGTGTTTGTTAGACTGTGTTGGCTTTTACTCAACTCGAATGCATAACATACTTTGTTCTGTTCACTTTATTGTACAATCCTTTTGCATTTTCTAACTTAAATACAGGATTTAATTCCTTCTGCTATTGAGTTTAGATAATATGTGTGAGTAAAGAAACTAGAGATATGTTCTATTTTGGTATTGTATAAACAAAGTTTGTCAGGTGTATGTGTGTGAGCGCCGTCATGTGATTATGAGCAAGAGCGTTAAACTGGGCTTGAAACGTCATCCCTGTAAATAAATACTGTATTGTATCACTCATTGTGTGTGTGGGCACTTTTTATCAAATAAATAAAATTATTCCGAGATGGAATTATAATCTACCACACACTGCCCAAATGCTATTCTTATATCAATTTTCATAGGTATGTTTCTTTCTAAAACAATGTCATATATTGTGTTTCACTAAGGATGACGTTTTATGTTATGTATAAAAGATCTATTTGGCGTACATATGTATATATATGATGCGGTAGGTAGGTATCTTCAAATGAGGATGGCTCACTCATGTCTATTAAAGTATCAGAGTATTGCTGTTTTTAATTTAGATTTTTGTTTCTTTGTTAGATACAGACGATGAGGTGATGGGTTTTGTATATGTACAATCAAGTGATTGGAGCATGTTATGCATTCGAGGCGTGTTGACCATTTCACCTATTTCGGAAGTCACATCATCTCCAATACCCAGTCGTCTCCTTCCTTCACAGGCACGGTTAACCGAAATAGAATTAGGTTAGAAAAAAGTTAGAGGTGGTCAAACCAAGACCTGGTATCAGTCCATGCAATCTTTGACAGTCAGTCGATATGAGTCATGTAGAAGGAGTCCTTGGTATGCTAAGACCCAATAGCTGGAGATTGTTGGCTATATGGCTCGAAATCGTTCTAAGTGATGCAGATGCATTCACTCTTTCTTATCTCCATATCGATTAAATTCTAATGTTTCCCATTGTTACTGTTCTTTCTGACGCGCACTTCTGCTTATAGTAGTACTTTTGAATCCTTGTCTATCTTTGTGTGCTACGTGGAATGGGGCAACTTGAACTGGCGCATTTATGTGCTAAGGTGTGTATGTCGAAACCCAGTCAGTCACCCTAGTTAGGAAGATTACAGGGGTGCTTAGTCTTTCATATACTCTGATGGTGTTTTTGTGACTTTCTGTTGCGATATCTACCAACGACAATCGGATACTATGTGACCTAACGGTTCTATGCGGTGCTTGGAAAAGGTTTGTATACGCCCCACCCTGAAAATGCTTTTGTAAAGATGTGGCTTACTAGCTTAGGCAATCGACCAATGGGTCCTGGGGTCGATTCTCGCTTCGCTTGTTTCTGTCCGGGACCTCACACAAGAAGTGCGCGGTTCATAACCTTTTACCAGGTGAACGACTTGTAACCAACTGACTAACTAATAAGATTAGGCTGAATGAAGTTTGAGTCGGTATTTATATTTAAGTCATGAACTATACTGATAAGTGTAGATTACCTGAAAGATGTCTCAGAATGTTAAGAAAAAATGAGTGGAACTTGTCTTTGAATCTCTGATGTGCACATGTTCAAATCAATTTCAGATTTTATTTTTCATTCTTAGCATTCTGAGTGGGACATAAGGTTTCAAGCTCTTTTAGCTTTGAAGTTTTCGTTGCGACGGTGTCGTTTTTTTATGGGATGGGGTCGCTAACTTTACGTCCATCCTTCCCTCGTTTTTGGGCGACGTTTAGCAGTGAGTCGGCCGAGAATTGAACCGCGACCTCTCCCATGTAGTTGGTGGGCATTCTACCAATAAACCAAATGACACACTAAACTAGGGAGCACAATGAATGACTATTTCGTCCTAGTCTAGGGCCCTTCATCAGCAGCTACCCATTGTCCCACTGAGTATTGAACTCAGGACCTTCTGGTGGGGTTGTGAGTTGAGCATTCTATCACAGCCGTAAGGACTCCTAGTGCCTGGGGGTTTAAAAAAATAACTTGGACATGGGTATGTGATATTCATTATTAGAGAAACATTTTTGTATGCTTGGTGTAAACACTTCAAGCCTGATAAATTATAAAGCGTATTTATGCAACACCGATATCTCTTTATGTTTTATTATGAAACTAATAGCGTACTTGGCTATTCCTTTGTTAACGTTAATTTCGTTCACTTTTGACTAATGTTTGATCGGTAATATTTTCTGTACTTTATGTGCGCGTTGGTGCGGTTGTGCGTTGGTGGCACAGCGGTGGAATGCTCGCCGACTACTCCCCATGTGGTGGTTCGGGGTTCGGTCCCTGGCCAACGCTCTCCTTTACCGCGGTAAGCCATCAATAAGACTGGTAAAGTTGGAAAGTTGGGCATGAGGCTAGCAACGCCATCCCGTAAAAAGTAAACATCACTGCTACCGAAACTTCAAGCCTCTAGCTTGAAACCCCCTATGTTCCACTGGGAAAGTAAAAGAATACACCACTACCACCATATGCGCGTTAACTGAAGTTGTATAATTATATGAGTAGACATTTATACTCATCCACTTCAAAGCTTTTTTAATTTGCTTCTAACTTCTCATAATTTTCTTTTCTATTTTTTCTACAGAAGGGGGAAGAATGTTTTGATTTGACCACCATCCTTTTAAGATTCAGCAATGTCGAATAGCGCATTTGGCCCGGTTTTGAGTTCAGGCATTGGTATGCCCAATATTATAAATAGTAGTAGTAGTAGTAGTAGTCATAATAGTAATAATAATAGTAATATTCCATCAATGAAAGAAGAGCATACCACCGCTTTAGGCTTGAAAGCTATTTATGCAGCTTGTCGAGTGTTGTATCCTGATCAACCGACTCCGTTACAAGTAACAGCTGTTCGAAAATTTTGGATGGGTGGACCAGATCCTCTGGATTTTATTAATATGTATGCAAATCCTGGTTCTGTGGAATTACAAAGTCCTTCACATTGGCATTATGTAACTAATGGTTTATCTGATTTATATGGAGATTCAAGGTTACACAGGTCAGTGAGTGTGTGAGGTTATGGTTGCACTGTTATTTCCTATTTTTATTTATTTGGTGAGAAATTGATGCCAGGATTTCATCATGAGCTGACATTGGTTAGAGAACCATTGGAAAACCTGGGAGTACTGGACAGCTGTTTCGTCCTAGTTTGGGACTCTTCAGCAGTACGCACCCACCGGGATTCGAACCCAGGACCTTCTGGTTACAAGGCGAGCTCGTATACCATTAAGCCACTGGGACCCGATCCAATGGTCCATGAATTCTAACTTCTGCTCATGATGAAATCCTGTAACCAATCAAATCCCTACAAACCAACACTTGAGAAATTGATGCATTTACCTGAAACTGTTTATAGCACATAATCGAGCTGTGGCTTATTGATTGGAGTGTTCGACTCCCGGATACTTAGGTCACTGGTTCGGACCTCTTTCCACTTATCGAGGTCTTGGAAGTCGGATTGTACCACTGGGCGTTACACAAAGATGTGTGTGGGTCATTGCTGACTGGCATGGAGTCGCGAGCAGTTGTTTAGAGAATACGAAAATGATGTCAAAATAATTTTGTGGATTAACGAAGAGAATTTTAACTTCTTGTCTTCTTTTACATCGTCGTCTTGTAGAGAAATTACACTCATATATGTTATATTTAACTAATTGTCCTAATAGTCTAAGCACTCAGCTTTTAGAGAGTGAGTCCGGGACTCGGTCTCCTTACCAGCCCTCATATACTACCTGATACGGTTGAGGGTGGATAGACTTCGGTCTTTTAAAATCCTCTCATGTGACCGCGCGTTCATAGCCTCTACCAGGTAAGTCGTAGTCATTGAATTCACACGGCGAGGGTATCCCTCACAAAAGTGGAAGGGTGAATGCAAACGTCTGGTGCTTACAATCAAACTGGTGGATATGCAGTTCTACTTAGGGAGGGGAGTTGGAAAACCCAAATTACGAACTCATGGTGTACATAGGCTCCAGACTTCGGACAGGTCGAGTGACGTATGGATCTATTCTGTACGTCGGAAACCTTTAGAACTTAGCGCCTGACTCTACTCCACTGCCTTGTGAGTCAGACTTCAAGCCAAGGGGTAGGCAGAGGTAGTCCCTGAAGATAACCACCTGCTTCGGTCCGGGCGTCCTGATAGCATTGCAGCCTTTGCACAAATTATGAGATTTTGTGTGGCTCATCTCTTGGTGGCGATAATGTTATCAAGTTTGTGAATATTATGATCAATCCTCCTACAGTAAATGTGGCTCAGTCTGTTTCAGGTAACTAAGTTCTACTACCACTACCAGTTATAATAATATTATCTATGTTAGTCCCGAGTGGAACATATGGCTTCAGCAACACATTGCCACTTCACTCTGTTCTTTGTGACCTGTACTACCAGGCTACACGATCGCCTATAAAATTTCATTTCCTTCTTACACATTCTCTTCCTTATCAGCAGCAGATGAAGGCCGAACTCATCGCCTTCTATTGGAAAGCATTGCGGGTGATGTCTGTCAACGGTCTCCTCAGCGTGTATCCATTCCATCTCCATTTCCTTCTGCATATTTATTGACCAGCAGTTTTGGTGACTGGTTCTCTGCCTGTTAGAGTTCCTTGTCGCTTATCCTTTCTGACTGGCTATATGGTTTCTAGTATCTATCGAAGGCAGCTGCTGGTGATGAAAGTCTATAGTTTGATGTTTGAAATGCTCTTCTTGAAACACTCCCAGTCTCTGAATGATATAGAAGCACTGTCTTGACATTAATGTTGGTAATTCCTATGATTAGTCTATTTGAACAAACACGAAGTAATTGAACTAACTACTGATAACCAGTATTCACTAGTGCTGTTTAAACTTAACTACAGCTGAAACATATCTTTCATGTTACAGGATTTCATCATGAGCTGACATCAGTTAGAGAACCATTAGAAAACCACCAAGGAGTACTGGACAGCTGTTTCGTCAGCCTAGTTTGGGACCCTTAGGCAGTACGCACCCATCACAAGCTTCAAACCCCAGCACCTTTCGTTTATGATGAGGCGAGCTCGTAGACCATTCAGCCACTGGGACCTGAGCCAATAGCCAGCCCATGAATTCCAACTTCTGCTAATTCACGCATTGCAAAGCGCTACTGGCACTGGCCAAAGTCATCGTCGGCGAATATTTTTCCTCTCACCCTACCTGCTGTACCCCATCGGTCACTGCTTCCCACTAGAACCCAGGTAACTACCTACCTGAATAGGGCTAGTCGCTAGTGAGAATCAGACCAATATTCAAGTGTTGGTTTGCAGGGATTCAATTTGATTGGTAACAGGATTTCATCAGGAGCTGATTTCGTGAATTGGCACAAGTTGGAATTCATGAGCTGGTTATTGGATTGGTGGGTCCCGGTAGCTAAATGGGCTACGAACTCGCCTCGTGGTAACCGGAAGGACCTGGGTTCAAACCCTGGTGGTGAGTGCATACTGATGAAGATTCCCCAGCTAGCAGGATGAAACAGTTGTCCAGTACTCCCTGTTGGTTTTCCAATGGCTGTCTAACCGATGTCAGCTCATAATTAAATCCTGTAACCAATCAACCCAAATCCCTGTAAACGAACGCTTGTAGATTTTTCATGTTTCATGCTTACCGTCTGAAGGCTGATGATACTAGGCAATATTCAAGTGTGAGTCACTTCGGACGGGGCACGAACTGCTAAACCATTGTTTGCAAGCGTAGTTCGTAAACCGATAAGCCGTATCTCCAACATTTAGTAGCAAAGCGTTGATTATTATAATCAAAACAAATGATTCAGCGAAGAGACTCTTTTCAACGAATTTATCATCAAGCTGTACAATCGTATATATATGGTTTTTAAGAAGTTATATCCGGTGAGGGAATTGAAACATAGGTTTGAATGCATAAAATAATAATAATGACATTAATTTGCTTTGCCACTTGACATTTAACTACGATTATAATCAAAAACGTTTTAGTTTTAATTGCATTTCATATTATTATTATTATTTTATGCATTCACACCTGTTTCAATTCCCTCACCGGATATAACTTCTTAAAAACCATATATATACGATTGTACAGCTTGATAGTAAATTCGTTGAAAAGAGTCTCTTCTCTGAATCATTTGTTTTGATTTTCTATATGTTACAATGGGAATTTTCCATGAATATTATAATGTCAGTACTAACCGCTAAGATTTCGATTTCCCTACATAGAGTACACTCCAAACATACTGATTATTTTCTTTGACACACCATTGTGAACATTTTGTTCTTTGTGTTTTTTTATTTCTTTTAGTCATTCTAATACAACTGATGGTCCTAGTGGTTTTGGTTTCGAGTTAACATTTCGTGTAAAACGTGAACCAGGTGAGACAAATCCACCAACCTGGCCAGCTCATTTATTACAAAGTCTTGCACGTTATGTATTCTATTCCCAAGCTCAATTAATGGCTGGTGACCACATCCCCTGGCCTACATCATTAGATAAACAACCGAATTCAGCGCAACAATCTGAGAAACGACAGCCTCATCAACAACAACAACCGACAGATAAGCAAACGAATACCGAAGAACTGGAAAATGCTAGAAAATCGATTGCTATGGCAGCTGCAGCCACTGCAGCGTCTATCTTAGCTGCTAATATCGCCAAAACAGGAATGACAGCGTCAACATCAGCTACTCTATCGGCATTGACGAATCCATCGACGTATGCATCAATGGTTGCAGCGGCTTTAGCTGCTGTGTATAATAATAGCAACAATAACAGTAGCTCTTCGTCAGCGAACAACACTTCAGAGGATACTACAGTTAAGGAAAAGCAATCAGCCAATAATTCATCAAGTTCACGTATACATCATATGCTGTTAATTGAAGATCCTCAGTTGAAAAAGATAACAACACCATATGGTTATGTTCAATTTTTACAGGTATGTTCATGCCAACCTCTTCAAGAGTTGATTTGTTTTTTTTTTTCGAGTTTGACCACGGATTGATATATCAGTGTTAGAGAGAGAGAACCATTGAAAACCTCTTAGGGAGGAGTACTGGACATCTGGCTAGCTGTTTCGTGAGCCTAGTTTGGGACTCATCAGCAGCGTAGAATGGAGTTCCGTGGAGTTCTAGTGAGAAGTTGTGATCAGTGAAGTCTATCCAGTTGCAAGTGACGATCGAGTACCCACTGATGATGACATTGGTTGATGGTTTGTCTGTCTGTCTGTCTGTTTTCGACATAGAACTTTGCACCAATGTGCAGCAGTTCAAGTCGCCACACTCCCTCCATGTAGCACATAAAGCAAGAGAAGAAATGCATAGTAGAGACAGTAAACAGAGATATGGGACAAAACGAATAGTAAATAACGAAGAGTGGATGCATCTGCGCCAGCGATTGAGAACGATTTTGAGCCATATCACCGATTGTTTCCAGTCATTGGTTTTTACCGTCCCGAGGACCCCATCTAGTCAGGAAGTTTACACCTTTTAACATCGCTTAAACTAACTGTTGTGGATTTCATTGATTGATGAAGCCATGTTTTGGTTTGACCGCCACTAGCTCTTTTCCAGCCTGACCCTATGTCAGCCAGCTAACACTGCCCGTCTAGGAAGGCGATGGCTAGGTTGGGCATACGTAACACATGTCCTAACCATCTCAGTCGATGTAGCTTCTCAGCTTCGTCTATTAATTTCCCTTCCTTACCTAGCACTCTACACCTAATCTCAATATTGGTTGATGGTCGCGCTGATAATAATCCCAGTAAAGAGGGAGAATTGAGCGTGAGGCTAGCAATCCCACCGCGTAAAAATAAATCCACTGCTAGTGAAAATGTGAAGTTTACAACTTGAAGCCTTGTGTTCCGTTATGGAGAAAATTTATTGCGATAAAGTTTCACAGTGTTATACAGTAATATTTACCGATGATGTCTCGAGTGCAACTTTTTGCTCACAATCATATCAACCTACTTATACAACTTTCTAACTTCGTTTATATAATTTCATTGTGTCTCATCTCTAGGTTTGATTGGTAGTAATACCTTGCATATCTCTGGTATTTGCATTGAGTCATTTCTGTTGCATGTGTTGTGTTGGGTGTAGATTCGATGAACAAAGCTTCAGTAATCAACCTCTCTCCCCACCTACCTATATTACTTTTTAGAATTTTAACCCTCTCCCACCATGCTATTGTGTGGTTGTGTGTTAATGCATGCAGTGCAATTCCTGAGATTTTTTTTCTAAATTACTTATCTTCGCGGGGTCAATCATTCTACATTAAAGCTAAATTCTTATGTTCTGACAATCAGACTACCCTCGATCTACTGGTTTGACCTATATGCCTGACTTAACTCACAATCACTGCAAGGTATTTTGTAAATAATATTATTTTGTCTAATTGGGTCAACCCACAGTGTCCTTTTACCTACAGAGCTTATCCTACCTGAGTGAGTTTGTAGGTTTAAATGTCACCCTGATTCCTGCTTTATTAAGAATCCTACGTAGAGTCTCAGATGTCCCCTCCTTGTATAGTAAAACTGTAGATGCCTGATATTCTCTCTTAATTATGCTATTATCATTATTAGTTTCACTATGTTTTTATTTTTAACTTTTTTGATCTTCTCACTAGATTTTATAGGATAGTTATTTAAACCCAACACTTCCATCTGTTTCACTTCATTATTTTATTAAAACATTTTTTCTCCATAATGCAATCATACTCTACCACAGTGCTCAGGTTCTATTCTTAGACCCTCTGTTCCACTCGGAACTCAAAGGAATTAATGAAGAGCAATCACTTACTGCATCTCCCTGCAGTTGACAATAAGCCACATCTATTATATGAGATAAGGAGAGACAGCTAGTGATCGATCGCATCACCTGACCTCTCAAATCTTGGTAGGTAGAGCGGGGATTCAAACCACTGACCCATTTGTTGGAATTCAAGCTGAATGATTGACTGACTGGTTTCAACATAGAACTTTACACCGATGTGCAACACTTCGAGTCGCCACACTTCACTTAGCACACAAAGCAAGAGAAGAAAGCAACAAGACATGCAAAGCAGACATATGAGGCAAACCATATAGTTTTATTGGATATTATAAGTCACAAGGAGTGGATGCATCTGCTCCATTGAGAACGATTTTGAACCATATCACCAATTGTCTCCAGCCTTCATTGGTTTTTACCGTCTCGAGGACCCCAACCAGGAAGCCAGTCTACACCTTCCTACCTGAATGGCTGGTTTAAACTAACTGTTATAGATTTCATTGACTGGTGCCTCCTCAACACCAATAAGTCACACAGCAAAGGAGGGACACGGGGTAGAAGATGTCAGAGGAGAAATCGGTAATGCTTTCTACTCCAAAAGCAGTTCAAAAAGTCACTGTACAACCATTTTACACTTTCATGCATTTTGCAGTGATCCACACCATTTGTATGTTACTTCTGCTTGACACTATCCCTTGGTCTGCAGTGGAAGTGGGTTTGGGACCCCACAACCCATTTGATTGGAAGTTGACGACGACTTGCACCAATGAACTACAGCTTTTCAGTCAGGTTGATTGACTGACTCACCGACTGACTGAAGGAGCTATTATAATTATTCCTTTGCGTTCCGCGAGTGGAGCATAGCACATTGCCATTTCACTCTGTTATCTGCAATCGTCTTTTGCTTCGTCTTAGCTGACTCTACGATTTCCCCCCTCCTTTAGCGTTCCTCTTCACATCATGGTTTCCATGACAACATTGGATGTCCAAATGACTGTTGTTGTTTTTATTTAAAGTGTGAATAATTGATTTTATTATCATTGTTATTATCATTACTGCTGCTATTCAACAAGCCATGACACGTTTGTTTTTATTATATTGATTTGATTAAAGTTCAAGGTCATATGCATTTGGCTGTGTTCCATCCTACAGTTGCTATACACTTTATCTTGGTATGAGTAAAGTACTTAGTTATTTATTTATTTACATATTTATCTAGTTACTTGTTTTGCGATACATTTTACATGAGAGAGAGAAGTGTAGGCCTAATTGTGTAGTAGTTAGTACTTTCTGTTTAACTTCATCATAGATATGCTAATGGAAGTATCCTTAACTGAATTTAACGACTTAGAAATCGACTTATTACCAGGGAAATAGTCTTATGGACTTAGAATATGCAGATGACATTGTCCTATTAGGTAGGGGAGGATGCTGACAAAATGCAGAGTCTTCTGAACACCTTGAGGAGCAACAGTCTTCGTATGTTTGGCATGCGATATGCCCCTGTAAAATGTAAGATGCTGCTACAGGATTGGACTACGTCAACTGCTAGCTTAGTGATAGGGAGTGAAGTGATAGAACATGCTGACCACTTCATCTATTTGGGAAGTTGTATCAGCGACGGAATCTCAGCACGGATCTAAAAAGCTCGAGCTTCTTTCGCTAACTTACGCCATCTCTGGCGTAGCCGTGACATCCGGCTATCAATCAAGGGGCGTGTGTACTGCTCAGCAATTCGCTCCATCCTTCTCTATGGCTCTGAAACATGGCCAATACGAGTTGAAGACAAGAAAAGGTTGACTGTTTTTGATCATAGATGTCTACGATCTCTTTCTCACGTTAGGTGGTATAATAAGGTAAGTAATGTTGACGTTAGGCGTAGAGTGTTTGGCAAAGAGGGAAAACCAATCGAAGAGACTATGAAGTTACATAGATTGAGATGGCTAGGTCACGTGCTGCTCATGCCTAACCATCGCCTCCTCCGACGGGCATTACTAGCTGATATAGGTGCAGGTTGGAAAAGAGTAAGTGGTGGCCAAACAAAAACATGGCCTCATCAACCCATGAAATCCCTGACAGTTAAACTGAGTCAGGTAGGGAGATGCAGACTTCGGGGTTGGGGCCCGCTCTCAGGACTCTAAGAATCAATGGCTGGAGACAATAGGTGACGTGGCTCAAAATCGTTGTCAATGGCTTACGCAGATGTATTCAGTCTCTGTAATCTTTCATATTCCTATGTACCATTACTCATTCTGTTTCACTCTTATACTCGTCAAAACTCTATTGATTCTCTTCATCGCTCATTTTCTTGTCTACCTTTGTGTGCTATTTAGAACGTGGCAACTCAAACTGCTGCATTTCGGTGGCAAGTTCTATGTTGAATCCAGACAGACAGTTAGTACTTTTAAGTGATACAGTTGGAGGTGGACTAGTACTTGTGTGTATGTGTGTGCGTGCTACTGGGAAGAATTTATCTCTGCTGATGTTTTATTATATCTCTTAGTTAACTAGATATAAAAGGAATGACATGGGATGGATACTCTATCTTCTTTCTACAGGATGGGGTTGCTAGCCTCATACCCAACCTTTCTTCTTTACCAGCTTTATTACTGGCTTAGCGAGGTAAAGGAGTGCCTCGGGGGCTGGGAATCGAACCCCGGACCATGTGCATGGTCGGCGAACGTCCTAACCGCTGTGCCACCAACACACTCATAGTCTTCATCTTATCTGTATACTCAATTACAACAGCAACAATCCAATAACACACAAAAAGAGTTCCATTCAAGGGAGCCAGCCAGGAGTCATGGCAGCACAGAGCTTCACGCAGTAATAATAATATCAATGGATTACAGTTTGATAGCGTCAATATAACAATACATTGAATATCAGAGAAATTAAGAGAAGTAATAATACAAATTCATGAATTTATAGCCTCAAGTGTGTCACCACACACACAACCAACTAAAAGATGCAGTACCTAGACTAGTCACTTCTACCAATGCAACTGCACTTCTTAAGCGAGTATATTGACCGTCGTGTTCGGCCACATCTACCTGTGTGGTTAAATAAAGGTGTAGTGAGAAGTATTAATAGCTCAATACTAGAACACCTGGTCCAAACGGACCACAAAGCCAGCATTGAAGAGCCCTTCTCCATCATCGATCGGGTACCGAACAAATTGTCAAAAACATCAAGGTACCAAACAACAAAGGCTATCGCGAATCGCCTTAAACAACCGGTGCTCTGTGTGGAGAAGAAGCAAGCCCATCCACCATAACTGCCCTGGCTGGCCGGCCTTCAGTAGAGACTATAAATTCATGAATTTGTATTATTATCTTTCCTAATTTTGCCGTTTGATATTCAGTGTGCATTGTTATGTTGATGCAATCAAACTGTAATCCACTGATATTATCATTATTATTATTGATTCGATGTTATTTAAACAAGATTAATGTTGTTAATTGTGCGTCGGTGGCACAGCGGTAGAATGCGCTCACCAGCCATGCAGGTGGTCTGGGGTTCGATCCCCGGCCACCGAGGCACTCCTTTACCTCACTAAGCCAGTAATAAGACGACTGGTAAAGAGGAAAGGTTGGGCATGAGACTAGCAACCCCACCCCTTAAAAAATAAACACCACTGCTACAGAAACTTCAAGCCTATAGCTTGAAGCTGCCCTATGTTCCACTGGGAACGTAAAGCAATAAAGCATTCAGTTTAAATTAAGTTACCTTACATTAACATGTATTATTATATACGTTTTGCAATGTTTAATTTCCTTTTTTTTGTAGTTGGTTGGATTGTGCGACGAAGAATTACGTTTAGTACAACGATGGACTGGTTCACACGTGGCTGAACTGATGAGTTGTTCCATTGAAACTGGTGGTGGTCTCCTTGTCACTGATATGCGAAGAAATTTAAGTCTATTTGAATTACAACCAAATCTAGTGGATTATATCAATGAAAAGTTGAAACGTGAAGGTTCTAATTTATCCGGTGTTACTACGTCGTATTTCGCTTGGTCACCTATTACATTGTCAGCGTTAGGTGAACTTTTGCCTGGTGAGTTGGAATCACGTCGTCTACGTCGTCAAACACAGAAACATGACTGCCCTTCACCGTCAGCATCGTTATCAACGAGTTGTTTGTATACGTCGAAAACGAGTGGACAATCGTTGTCTAAATCGATTTTATTCCCTAATTATAGTTCTACGCATAAATCGGATACAGATATTGGGTCAAAAACAATAGCAATGGATACGGATGACACATTAGTTTCATATGCAGTGAAGAAACGAATTGAAGAAGATGAATTTGTTGATATTGTTGGTGGCAATGGAGGAGGAGGTATAGGTGGTGGTGGTGGTGGTCATGTCGGTGGAGGTGGCGGTGGCAGCGGTGAGGATGTTGACTCAACAGCAGCACAAAAGTTAACCAGTGAGAATTATATCCACTCATCAACTACAGCTATTGGTTCAATGTCGCCTGAAGTGAATTCATCGTTGAAAATGTCACGTTTTGAGTCGAAATCACGTATTCTATCATCTATGAGTAATCGTAATGCAGTAGGCGGCACAGATGGACAAACAATTAGTGCACCTGGTGGTTTCTCGGCATGGTGTGGACGAGTAGGACCGATGAATATGTTTAATCAATCACCGTTTGGTGGTAAGTACATGTGTAATCTCATTTTTAAATTTGATGGGGAATCGACTTCAGTTGAAGAACCATTGAAATATCAGCAGACAGTGTTATTACTTGACAGCCGTTTCGTCCTTGTTTGACACTCTTCATCAGTATATACCGATGGTTTTCAGTGGTTCTCTAACTACTACTTTGTAGAGATCAGAGAAGGCAGGCGTTCAAAGTTTTATACTGAATGTATAAAGTCATTCTTCCTTTGTCTCCAATTCCTGAAGGCAGCAAGAAAATGATCCTGCTGAGAACCTATAGCCCAATAGATATACCAAAGAAAATGCAGATGGACCGGATAAATATTGAGGAGATTGTTAAGTGACATCGCGTGCTAGGTTGTTAGGATAGCGATTAGACTAAAAGCAGTTGCCGGCATAGTGTAAGAATTTTTCTTACACTATGCTGGGGAACAGGGATGTAACAGCAGTGAGGTGTTTCCCTCAGATAATCAGTATGCCAGCTATGCTGTTTCCCCACTCCGGAGAGAGAGGGTTAGAAAAGGTCGACCCCAAAAATTGTACATCCCGACTTACCCTACCTACGGTGGTCCATAACCGGCGGTAAGTTCACTAACACGGAACCAATCCCAGAAACCAGTTCATACAGGCCGTGTGTGACCGGCCTCAAGCAGTTGTCTTCTGGGCTCTGCGGTCACGCAACACTAACCGTCTTTATGTTTCAGGTACCCAAAGAGTCAATCAACTTAAGTGGTGTGAGCAGCCGGGAAGCAACAACCGCCCATACACTTCGAAGAGCACACGTAGCCTCCCCGAGCATCATTCGCGTGCTAGGCCTTTGAATAGAACCTGAATGGAAAATGGTGAATCGGTTATCTGACGGGGACATGGAGGAGATGAGGGCTTATTGACAATCGTGGAACCTTTTAGTAGAAGCGACTTCAGAGAATCGGATGAAATTGAAGTCCTTTATATCCTCATAATATTGATTAAGTGTCCTATATTGGGATGAAACAGCTGACCAGCAGTACTTCTTCCTCCAGTTCTCAATGGTTCTCCAACTGACATGATTCAGCTCGTGATGTAACTTGAAATCCCAATCAAATCTCTGAAAATTTCTAATTTGAGTATCATTGGATCAAGTCCCAGTGGCTTAATGGTCTACGACCTCGTCCTGGGTTCGAACCCTGGCGGTGGTGTTTGCGTACTGATGAAGAGTCTCAAAAAACTAGGACGAAGCAGCTGTCCAGTACTCCCTGACTGGTTTTCCAATGGTTCTGTAACCTATATGAGCTCATGATGAAATCGTTTAGCCAATCAAATCAAATCCTTGTAAACTGTCCGTCTGTTTTCTACATAGAACTTTGCACCGATGTGCGGCAGTTCAAGTCGCCACACTCCATGTAGCACACAAAACAAGAGAAGAAAGTAGAAGAAATGCTTAATAGAGATAGTAGACAGCAATATGAGACAAAAGAAATAGTAATGACGAAGAACAAAAACGTTTCATTGGAAATCTTAAGTCACAAGGAGTGGATGCATCTGCGCCAGACAGCCATTGAGAACGATCGCTTTGAGCCATATCACCGATTGTTTCAAGCATTGGATTTTACCGTCCCTAGGACCCCATCTAATCAGGAAGTCTATACCTTCCTACGTGGCTGGCTTAAACTAACTGTTGTGGATTTCATTGATTGATGAAGCTATGTTTTGGTTTGACCGCTGCTAGCTCTTTTCCAGCCTGACCCTATGTCAGCTAACATCGCCCATTGTGAAGGAAGGCGATGGCTAAGCTGGTCATACGTAACAAATGTCCTAACACCATCTCAGTCGAAGTAATTTCACATCCTCGTCGATTGATTTCCCCTCCTTACCTAGCACTCGACGCCTAACCTCAATATTGCTCACCTTATTATACCACTTCACACGGGTGATAGAACGCAGACACCTATGATCAAAGACAGCTGATCTTTTCATGTCTTGTGCTCTCAATGGCCAGGTCTCACAGCCATAAAGGAGGACGGAGCGGACTGATGAGCAGTGTACACGTCCTTTGGTTGATAGTCGGATATCGCATCTACGCCAGAGACGGCGTAAACTGGCATATGCGAAACTAGCCCTCTGTATCCGTGCTGAGATTTCATCAGAGATCAACCCGTTGGGTCTGATGGTACTACCCAAGTAAGCGAAGTGGTCAACGTGCTCTACCACTTCACTTCCTATTTCTAACCCTGTAAACTTACACTCGAATATTATTTCGTAAGTTTATCCGAAGTAAGAGGGAATAGGGGGTGGGGGAATAGAGATTAATGCACCTGTTGTTCTTATTGTCGGAAGTCATAAAATTCAGTCGTAATTGGTGTTTAATTAACACCTACGGTTAGACTTTATACTTACAATCACTTTCGTCCATTGGTCGTTTAATCATCTTTTACTTTATAATCGCATTACACCTGTTGTTGTTTTTTTCGAAATACCCGCACACTTTCTATTATGGTATGATATTACCAATGCAATATTATTACATTTAAAATTTCCATGGTAAATAAGTTTATATTCCCGCCTACCTAATCTTTTTTGTAGGTCGTCATGGAATGAATAAAACCGGTGGAAATAGTTGTGCATCCAGTGGAGGTGTATTCCGTGGTTCTTTAGTCACCTCACCTACAGAGCTGACAAATTCACTTGGCGGTGCACTTGGATTTAAAACATTCAACTCAGAACTACCAACGAATATGATTACAGATAAACTGTTTGATCCGACTACAGCAACTACTACTACGACTACTGAACCTAAAGGAAGTCGTACTCCAGGTACTGGAGGTGGTGGCGGCAGTGGAAGTACTACTGGGGATGGATCTGCTCCATGCACTCCACTAGCACATTTATCACTTTCTCCGGCAAGTTTAGATATGATGCCAACACGTGTTATTGACTATTTGGATGTACATTTATGTCGTGAAGCTGGTGAAATGCTCCCGTTGGCGGTGAATGATCGTCTACGTCATGGTAGACATTTTACCTTTTTAAATGCTAATTATCCTGACCATGCAATCACTTTAGTTCCGACTGGTGTGTCTGGAGCATTTGTTAGTGAAGAGACACCATATGTTGCTCGTGGACCATGGTTACAGGTAAGAATTTATTTTTTACCACCTATCATGTGTATAAAATTCATTGTTTTTTAATGTACAATTTACCAATGTTAACAAAATGACACTATACGCTCAAATCAGTAGTGATCATTGAATGCGAAATGACAATCTGTGTTGCGGTAGAAGGATAGTAGAGACAGTGACGCCGGAGTTACTACTCTAGCGCTAGGTTCACCAGGAGTAATGCATCCAGTTGTCATGTAAATCAGTGATACTACTCTACTGTGCCGTTTATCGTTCACATTCGTTGTTCCGTCTAGTCATACAGAACAGAGGCCCCCATAAATGACGTGGTTGGTACGGACGAGAGTGGGTAGACTTTGGTCTTCCGCTACAAATACTCTCACGTTTCCATACTTTCATAGGATCTACCAGATACGTCTTATTTACTGCCTTTGTGCATCGCGCGCGGATGTTCGTCACAAAAGCGGAACAACGAGTGCGAATATCTGGCGCGTTTACAACCAGCCTGGTGGACATGCAGGTCTATCTAGGGAGGGAAGTTGGACCACTGTGATTCCAAGCCTTTGATGTACATGAGCTCTCGGGTCCGAAAGGATCAATTGGTGTATTAGCCTGTTTTGGTCACCATCAGCTTATCTCTTGGTGTCCATAATGTGATGCACTAACTGATGCTAACCTAACACAAATATCCTTCATCCCACGACACCACGTCATGGGCTGACCACTTCCCCACCTTTTTCATCCCGTCCCAGGACTGGCTAGCGAACACAAACCTCTACGGAAAACTCTGAAATGACATTCTGAGCACATGTCCAGGCCACCGAAGCCGGTGTTTCCAGATGACGACGGTCAACGAATAGTGATCTCTACTGTGTCCAAATACACGCCGCCGAACGCAAATAATTCTACAGAGAAAGTGGTGATCGAATACACAGAGTCGCCGCACATCCTTAGCTCGGAGAGGCCAAATTTCACAGGCATTAAGCAAGACAGCACGCACTGAAGCGATCTTTGACAGCCAGGCTAACGTTGCCACAACGCCAGAGGTGGCTCAAGCTAATGTATGCCATCCTAGCCTTCATTATACGGTTGGAAATCTTATCCGTCACCCCTCCGCCAGCACTCACACAACAACGCAGATACACAAACTTATCACCCGCAAGAGTGCATGCAGGTACAGGCTCCTGCCAATGTTGCAACATTACTTTGCACTTAGACGGTGCAAAGCACATACCATACTTACAGATACTGTTCACCAACTGATTAAGTGCGATTTGGGCAACCTGTATGCTATCGCACAGTAAGACGGTGTCGTCTGGATAATAAGCATAATATGTTTGAGGTTTGACTTCCGGCTGATACATTTCTAAATTTCTCATTCTCAAAGCCCTTAGTAAGTTACCCTTTAAAGAGGGAAGTTTGGATGTGTGATTAGCAACCGTTCACCTCACAGGAGAAGCAATACCACCACTACGGAAACTTCAGAGTTGAAGCTTCAAGGTTTATGTTCCACATGGAACGCAAATGAATACACAGAGGCCCATGTACTGACTCATAGTAGGTAGAATAGCGGTTCTGAACACGTGTATCACTTCTCTGGTAGTCATATTTCTTGATTCATATATCATCCTGTTTCCCTATATTCCCTAATTTTGGGTGTTTTACTCCGAAATATGGTTAATTCTTAATGATTCACTCCTGTGCGCGCACGCTTGCGCTCACACAGACACTGGCTGACTGGCCTTAACATAAGACGACTTCGCAAACCTAATTTCTATGTCAGATGGTAACACTGCTCTACGAGGAAGCTAGTGGGATCCTCAGCATGCAAAAAACGCGTATCCTAGCCATCTCAATCGATGCAGTTTCATAACCTTATCAATTGACTTGACCTCGTTACTTAACCTGTTGTCTAACCTAGACATTACTTACAAATATGATACTAATTAACACGAGGAATAAGGCGGAAATGTCTGCGGTCAAATGACAGAGGTTCTGAACAGGTATCTGTCGCTTCTCTGGTGGTAGTCATGTTTTTTGACTGATGCATTCTTCGCCCTCTTTTTTCTTTACTTTTGTGTGTGTTTGTGTGTTATTTCAGAATATGGCAAATTCAGCGGGCTCATTTCTGTGCGTGTGTGCACACATAAACGCAAAGATTTAGCATTGATATATCTATCTGTCTGTATGGTGTGTGTGTGTAGTTCTGAAGAGTCTCAAACCAGGACAAAATATCTGTCTAGTATTCCCACTGGTTCTCTTACCAATGTTAGCTCATGATGAAATCCTTTGACCAATCAAATCAGATCCTTCCAAACCAACAATGTAATATCAATCTGATGCTCACTAGGGACTGGCCCTATTCATTTAGGTAGTCACCTGGGTTCTACTGGGAAGCCGTCAGCAGTAGAGTACAGCAGGTAGGGTGTGAGAACAAACACTCGCCAGCGATAATATTAGCTAGTGCCAGTCGCGCTGTTTCGTGCGTCAATTGGTAGAAGTTGGAATTCATGGGCTGGCCATTGGATTGGTAGGTCCTGGTAGCTCGCCTTATCGTAACCAGAAGGTCGTGGGTTCGAACCCCTGTGATGGGTGCGTACTGCCTAAGGGTCCCAAACTAGGCTGACGAAACAGCTGTCCTGTACTCCGTGTTGGTTTTCCAATTGTTCTGTAACCGATGTCAGCTCATGATGAATTCCTGTAACCAATCGCATCAAATCCCTGAAAATCAACACTTGAATATGTGCCTGTCTGTCTCTTACACCAAACCCTTTGTTGTTACACCTTTTGGGGTCAATAAAATTCATACAAATAAGAATAATACACACATACATACATACAAACAAATTAGTTAAATGAATAGAACTCATCGCATTTTTATTTTCAGAAAAACGGTATATAGAAACAGATGTTTTAGATTTTCAAAAAATATAATGACTGATAAATATTTCATAGCACACCCAATATTTTTGTTTGTTTTGTGATAAAACCAGCATTTATAAAGTAGAATTTTAATGAATTCTCACACCTTAAAAGGTGAAGTTTCTAGATTAGCCTTTTTGAAAACGAAGATAGAGTGAGAGAGAGAGAAGGTGTGTGTGTCTGCGTGTGTGCTTTTATTGATTGAAATCACCTCTATCTTTAAAAGTGTAGATTTTGATGATGTTAATTAATGAAGTTGTGCGTGTGTATTATACTATTATCATTATTGTATCCTTTAATTCCTAGAGGAACATAGGGCTTCAGCCGTGCGTCTCCATTGCGTTCGGTTCTCTGCTAGAGTTTTCACCTGGCTTCAAGTCTGCCCACACGTTTTCATCTCCTCTTCACATGACCTCCTCCAAGTCACCTTCGCACTGACGACCAACTCACCGCTTCCCTTTCGGGTTCCACTCAAGCAATGGCTTGTCTAGTGATGTCACTTGATGGTTTCCTCAGAGTATGGCCAGCCAATCCATCTCCATTTCTTCCTGCCTATTTATTTCACAATCGGTTCCTGGTTGGTTCGCTCCCAGAGATCTCTGTTGCTGATATTTTCTGGCCATCTGATCTTGAGTGGCATTGAGCGAAGACAACTGTTAATGAAGGTCTGTAGTTTGTTTGAGATGCTCTTTATGACGCGCAGTGCAAGTCTCTGATCCGTATAAGTAGCACTGACTTCACATTGGAGTTGAAAATCCGGATCTTGTTTTTGATGCTGAGTGTTGTCGACCTCCACACAGACTTGAGAGTAGTGAAAGCTTGTCTTGATTTTCCGATTCTTGCTTTGATATCCTCGTCAGTTCCGCCTGTAGTTGAAACGATGCTTCCCAGGTAGGTAAAAGAGGTTGTTTCTTTCAGGTTCCTTCCATTTATGCTGATCGTTGTCTGTCGTTGTTGTTGCTGTTGGTGTTGTTGCCCAGGAATCTTCATCACCTCTGTCTTCTCTATGTTCACCTGAAGTCCTATCATTGAAGCTTCTTCTGCCAACTTGCTGCTTTTCGCTTGCATATCTTCCAGTTTGTGGGAAATCAGACATATATCATCGGCGAAGTCTATATTCTTCAAGTATTTTGTGTAGGTCCATTTTATGCTTGTTTCCTCTCTGCCCGCTGTGTGTCGCATTATCCAGTCTACTGCAATCAGGAAAATCATTGGAGATAGTAGGCATCCAGCTAGCCTTGTCTTACTCCTGTCTTCACTTCTTCGAAGGATTCCGTTAGTTTCACGTTGTGGATTACTTGGCATGCAGCATTGTCATACAGCTGTTGGATGAGATGTATAATTGTCGGTGGCACCCCGTAGTAGCGAAGTAGTTTCCAAATCACCTCTCGATCGACGCTGTCAAAGGCCTTTTCAAAGTCGATGAAGTTGAGATAGAGAGGTGACTGCCATTCCAAGCTTTGTTCAATGATGATCCGTAATGTGGCGATCTGATCAATACATGACTTGTTTCTCCTGAATCCAGCCTGTTCCGATCGAAGTTTTCATCCATAGCATGTTTGATTCTCTCTCCAGGATAATGCGGCTTAGTATTTTGCTTGGGATGGACAGGAGCATAATTCCGCGCCAGTTCTTGCATTGACTTAGGTCTCCTTTCTTTGGTAGTTTGAATAAGTATCCTTTCTTCCAATCCTCGGGTACTTTGCCTTCTTTCCACACCTTCTCCAGTAGTCCGCTGTTGTCTCTGGGTCCGTTTTCAATGCTTCTGCTTGGATTCCATCTGGTCCTGCTGCTTTTCCAGCTTTTAGCATCTTGATTGCCTTCAGGACTTCTGATTTCGTCGGGGGGTTGGTGTTCACTGGTAGCTCTGTCTCCGTCGTTGGTATTGCTGGGCGCGTTGTAGGTGGTGGTCGATTTAGGAGTCTTTTGAAGTGTTCAGCCCAGTGTTTCCTTTGCTCCACTTCTTTGGTGAGTGACTTTCCGTTGTCATCCTTCACCGGCTTGATTTGTGTCAAACTTTTGCCCGATAGGTACCTAGTTTTAACCAATGACGGTGATTTTGGGAATCAAATAATAATAATAATAGTCTTAATAATAATCATAATAATAATAATCATAATAATAATAAGGTGGTAAATGTTTTGAACATAGTTAATAACGATGATTATAATGATAACAAAATATTGATAATAAGGTTTATGCAGATGATAAGAATAACAAAGATAGTATATGTATATAAGTGTATAAATAAATTGGGTCAAATCTTAAAAGGTGAAGTGGAACGATAATCAGAGTTTAAATAAATATTATAAAAGTACAAAGGAGGTGGAAAATAAGAAAGCGTGGGAGGGTTTTGAATACAGTTCACCTAGGCCAAGGGAGAGACAAAGGTAGAACAAACTTCTTTTGTATGCAAAGACTAGGATTGTTCTCTCGAATTCCCATAGCTTCGGCTAGGTGTAAAAGACGGTTTCTGATTCCATTAGACAGACTCGATGGAATACGATAGATAACTTTGAAAGCACTATTTTTGTCCACTTGGTGACCGCTATCAATCAAATGAGCCAAAATAGAACTTCGTATGGATTTTATTTGACCTTTTCCGAACCATGAAGGAAGATGCTCATTAATGCGTTTGTTCAGCTGTCTAGTTGCACAACGGAGATGACTGTTACTCTCTCTCTCTCTTGGAGCCGCCGAAATTAACTTGTGATAAAGTTAAACTATAATAGTATCACCACGACGCCATGATCTTTGACAACCAGATTGAGTTGAAGGTGGTATATGTATAACCAAGTTGAAATCATGCCTTTTCCTTTTGGGTTCGCCTAAGAAGTTCCAGGAGGACCTCTGGGTGTTTGATTACTGTATAAATAATAGATTAATTGGGGAGGGGGAAGCTTGAAAGGATTACTGGGCTTTTGGAGTAGATTGAAAAACACAATCAGAAATATACAACATAGTACTCAAAACACTATTCCCCCCCCCCCCCCGAAACACTGAAAACTGACCCAGAGACTGCAGCAGATATGCTTACACTATAATTTCAAAAGATTTGGAAGAAAGGTAAAGTATCTACCGATTAGAAGAAAGACTACCTCGTCAAGCTGCCAATGAAGGGCAACTTACGCCTACCTGTGCAAGAACTGGCATGGAATCATGCTGCTGTCCATGCCAAGTAAAACACTAAGTCGCTTCATCCTGGGAAGAATAAAAGACGCACTGGATACAGAACTATGCTGGCCCACCACAAACTGGATTTAGGAAAGGCAAATCATTCCCTGACCGAATTGCAACTCTACTCATCGTCATCACAGAACAAAGCATAGAATGGCAGTCAAACCTGTACCGCAACTTCGTGGATTTCGAAAAGGCCTTTAGTAGACAGTGTTGACGGAGAAGTAATTTGGAAACTGCTTCAACACTACGGCGGGCAGTGCCCCAAATCTTTATCAGCCTTATTCAACAACTGGCTATATGACAGTGCCACGTGCCAGGTGATCCACAACAGAAAACTCAGCAAGCCGTTCGAAGTGAATGCAGGAGTAAGACGAGGCTGACTGCCTGTCTATTATCACCACTGATGATATTCTTAATTCTGGTGGGTGAGAACACAGAAATACCCTAGACAGATAAGAAGATCTGGATGTTTTATGTTTAAGTGTTGGTTTGTAGGGATTTGATTGGTTACAGGATTTATGTTTAATGGCTCACGGGCGAAAAGCAACAAACTGTCTGAAGAAGCAGCGAAGACAGGACTCCAGCTGAACATAGAGAAGACGTAGGTGATGAAGATAACCAAATAACCAACCAACAGCAATAACAACAGCGACCAGCACCAATCACTGTCAACGGGAGAGATTTGACACGGGTTATTTCCTTCACTTATCTGGCTGGTAAGCACGGTTTCAACCATAGGCACACAAGACGGATTAAGATATCAAAATCAGCCAGAATCAAAAAAGTCAAGATACACCTTCACAAACCAGAAACCAGTTTGGAAATCTTCTGCACTCTACCTCAGCATAAAGAACAAGATATGTTCGGATTTTCAACACAAATGTCAAATCGGTCCTTCTACATGGGTTAGAAAATTGCACTGCATGTGACGAAAACAATTTTATTACTTTTATTACTATTATGTTTCACAATGGAACAAGTAGGTCGTCCTTAATATCACCATTAATTTGTTTTTTTAATTATTTTTCTTTTCCTTCTAAAAGATTCTACTGACAGATGACTTTTTGGAACAACTGGAATTTCAATTTTCATGTTTATTATATCCAGATGAATTACGTCTCCCGTTGGTATTTCGTTGGCCTGAAAGACACCTACGTATCTGCTTGATTGATGTGAACTCACCAACCTCTTCATCTGTAATACCAAGTGGTTGTGGGGGAAGTAATATCCCAACGAATCCTCTTCCATCCTCATCAGCGATGTCATCCACTTTGATGAACTCCAGTACGCCTACAACACCTCCTACTACTACCAGTGCTTCGGTTACACCATCTCATCCTCATAGTCACCCGCATAATATTCATTCTATTGTATCGAAGGCATCGAATTCCCCGTGTAATTGGAATATATCATCAATGTTTGAGAATAAATTGTCATCGACTAGTGGGACACCTTCTTCAGTTATGCCACATCAGCAACAACAACAACAGCAGCAACAGAATGCATTTACAAAAACTGATTTATTATTCCCTTCACCGTCAGCATCGTCATCATTATTTTCATCATCTGCATCGTTATTTCCACCGGGATGTATCCCACCGCCGAATGTTTTAGCCTCTTTATTCAGTTCCTCAGCCGCTAGTAATATGAACAGTAATAATAGTAATAATAATAATAGTAATTCTGGAAGTATTCATAGAAGTACCAATACTAGTACTTCTCCTGCCAGCAATACTCCGAGTACTAATCCTGGAAGTAACAATAATAATCACAGTGAGTCATCTCAAACAGAATTACTAAGAAATCCTTTTCTCCAATCAATATCTTCTTTACAACAAACCCCGTTGGCACCAACTATGCCAGTTCCATCGCAAGCACATCCTCAACAGCCACAGTCATCATCTTTGCCATGTTCAACAGACTCTGGTGTAATGATGAAAATGGATCCAACTGCCTTTATGAATAATTGGTCAACATTTTTACAAACACTTATGAACAACAGTAGTAGTAGTAGTAATGCGGATGTCTTTAGACAGGCGATGTTCAGTGGTCATCCTAGTAATCCTAGTGCTTATTTTATGGAAATAATGCAAAGTATCCTGAACAACAGTAGTAGTAGTAGTAGTAGTACTGCTAATAATAATAATAGCGGTACTAATCCCAGTGTTATGCTGCATCATCCACTGACTGCTATTACATCATCCGGTGGTGGTGGTGGTGGTGGGGCAGGATTACCGACTGCCGGCGCCTCCTCCGCCTCGTCGTTGTCGTCGTCATTATCAGTAACTAGGCATTTTTAAACAAAAAACCTATTGAATATGAATCAAAGTTGGGCACACTCATTCATTCATTGGCAGGGAATTACTAATAATGACAATGATAGGTGGCGATGCAGACAGACAAGGGACGACCCCGAGTGTCAAGTAATCTCTTCTTATTTCGTCATGTTTTCCACACATACATACACACGTTTCTCTGTTTTTCAAATTGTGCACTTACTATTCTTGAATTTATATATAATATTATAATTTATTTAGTGAGCACATATTTATTATTATGTAATTTCATTGTTTTCTTTCATTGTCATTATTATCATCATAGTAGGTAGATAGGTGGTGGTACATATAACTCTAGTAATATTTAAACTTTACACTTATTATTATTATTATTTTTCTCGTTGAGATGACTAAAAAGTACACTTAAGCGCCAGTCGACAGACAGACAGATAGACAGAGAAAGCGCCATTTTTACCCTTCAACCGGTATTCTTCACTCTTCTGCGCCGTATGTATTCCTTCTTCTTATTGTGTGTTTTATTGCGTAATTACCCCGGTTAAATACGATAATGATGTAAGAATACATCATACATCACCCTTGAAACTACCCTTGATTGACAGTGAACTTTAAAATATCCCTCTTTCACATTATTTCATAGTATTCACATGCCTGGACGGCGGACCCCCGTGTGCTATCATTTTGATATTTTCTCTTTTTGTCATTGTGTTAGCCCTTTGAGTGTGTGGGATGGATGTGTTAAGTAACTTTGTGTAACTACATTGTGCACATGTATGTGTGTCTATGTGTCCCTCTGAGGGTGAATGAGTGAGTCTGTGTGTACTTCCGGTGGTTAACCGTACAACGTGGCAGTAGTATTAATTAATTACTGCTTCACATATATTTCATTGCGCCTTTCCCCACCCCTACCCCTCATATTCACATATATATAATTGTAATTGTATTATATAATTTTACAATAGTATACTGTAATTGGTTTTTTCTATGTTTTCTTTCCTGAATTCTTTAGTTGTTTTAATTTTTATTTATATTGTATTGTTTTAACTATACCTTTTTATTCTATTATATTGAATAATGGATAATATTTATTATTATTATTACTATTATTATCATGATATTATTATTATTCTCTTGGGTTCTGAATGCAACATAAGGAGGAAGGGCGTCAGCTGGACATCTCTGTCATCCTAAAGTTCTCCTCCTTCGCCTGACCCCACAACTGCTAACACAAGCTGTCATCTCCTCCATGTCAGCGTTGAATGACTCTGTGTCCATTTCGTCGCTTGCTTCCCATTCAGGTCTGACTCGACCGGATGGTCTGACACAAATGGGATATTTTCATCACTTGATATTATGCAATATTGTTAGATATGTATGTTTTGGATCTAATCGATGGAATAGAATGGCAGTGGATGGAAGCAGAGAATGGGATAGGGAGGGGGTCTGTTGTTTTTTAATAAATCTTTCTTCTATTTCTGTCTTTGCTTCTCCTTCTTGTCATATATGAATGGCATTTTTGACAGACTAATCATTGTTTTTTGAATTACTTTTGATGTCTGTATGAGTGTGAATGGGTGTGTATAGTTATTTCATAAATATTTATATGCAGTGAAGAAAATAAAAAGAAAGAAGTCGTACCAACATCTTTTAATTTTTGTATACTTATCTGTTGCGTGTTATTCTCTCTACTTCAACACTTGAGATGAAGGGGAGGGGGCGGGAAGAGTGATTCTCTGTGTAGATTGGCCGAGTACGAACACTGAATAAAATAAAATACACCGCTCAGTTACCTCGGATGCAGGTAACTTGAGTTGGGAGTCACATTTTTATTGTGTGAGACCCGATGACCCAAGTAGTGTTTCACACGATGGGTGAAGGGTTCAACTCCCCTTCGCGGGGACTACATCACTCATCGAGAATGTGTAGATGTATTCAGCTGACTAGTTCCAAATAACAGGAAATGCGCATCTTGGATTCCACTGCTGATCACCATTAACCAATGATGCAGATTTACTTCAAGGTGAAGTTGAGTGCTGTTAACCCGGCAATTTTGAGAAGGATGTTAAAGGTGGTCAATAGGGCAAGTGGTGTATCACCTACTGATACATTGGCGACGGTATCAGTGGAGGCTGGACTTAGTCGTCATCAATCCAACCCCATGAACCAAACGAATTCGAAAAATATCATGCCGGATCGGCCGTGGCCCGGATTAACAACGACCGCGCTTTCTGCTGCCGTGTCACAGGGCAGAAGTGATAAGTATACTACTGAGACACACCAGGCCGCGTGTGACCGGCCTCAAGCAGATGTCCCCTGGGCTCTGCGGTCACGCAACACTAACCTTTTTTCTATTTCAGGTACCCGAAGACTAAACTCAGGCGTGTGGCCAGCAACCCCACCCTGTAAACAAACCTGCTACAGAAACTTCAGCACGATGTATCTCCTTGAGACAAAAGAAAAAGTCTTTGTAGGGACATGGAATATCCGTACTATGTACGAGATTGGCAAAGCTGCCCAGATTGCAAACGAAATGAAAAGATACAAAATTCAAGTACTGGGAATATGTGAAAGCAGATGGAACGGGAGTGGACTCACCAAATTGTCAACCGGTGAGTCAGTGATCTACTCCGGCCACCCAGAAGATAACCACTCGCACACCGAGGGCGTGGCTATCATGATGTCACCAACGGCAACGAAGGCCCTGATGCAATGGGAGGCGATCTCGCCCGGGATAATAAACGCCAGATTCAACTCCAAAGGAAGGAAAGTGTCAATTATACAATGCTATGCACCAACCAACAACGCAGACCCTCAAACGAAAGAAGAATTCTACAGACAACAATGGACAATACTCCAGCTGGTGACATCAAAATACTAATGGGAGACATGAATGCCAAACTGGGATCAGATAACACAGGAAGGGAACTCATCATGGGTAGAGAAGCTCTCGGAGAAATGAATGAAAACGGAGAACTCTTCGCCGACTTCTGCGCCTTCAACGAACTAGTGATTGGTGGCAGCGTATACAAACACAAGGATATCCACAAAGCTACATGGGTGTCACCAGATGGGCGAACCAAAAACCAAATTGACTTCATCACAATCTCGAGGAAGTGGCGGCGCAGCCTGCTGGACACAAAAGCAAGAAGAGGAGCAGACTTTGGCTCAGACCACTACCTCGTACAAGGAACAACCCAACTCAAATTAAAAGCTTTCAGAGAAACAGGAGCTGCACATAGACCGCAAGCCAAGTTCAACACTCAAAAATTAAATGACCAGGATACAAAGGACATCTTTACTGCAAGCATAAAGGACAAAGCTGAGACACAAATCGACATTAGCGAAGAGGTCAACGTCGAAAAACACTGGGACAACCTGAAAGCGGTATGGAGCGAAACCTGCATGGAAGTTCTGGGCAGAAAGAAGAGACAGGACAAACCGTGGCTCACTACGGACACTTGGAGGCTAATAGAAGAGAGAAGGATGGTGAAACAAAAGATTATCCAGTGCACCGACGAGCAACAGAAACAGGAGTTGAATGCAAGCTACAATACACTGAACAAAGGAGTAAAGAAGAGTGCCAGAGAAGACAAAAGAAAGTATTATGAAGCCATGGCCAATGAAGCAGAACAAGCAGCAGGCAAAGGAGACCCGCAACACTCTACCAAACAACTAGGTACCTCTCAGGCAAAAATTCGTCACAAATTAAGCCAGTGAAGGATGACAATGGAAAGTCAATCACCAAAGAAGTGGAGCAAAGGAAACAGTGGGCTGAACACTTCAAAAGACTACTAAACCGCCCGCCACCTACAACGCGCCCAACAATACCAACAACGGAAGCAGAATTACCAGTGAACATCAACCCCCCGAGGAGAACTGAAGGCAATCAAGATGCTGAAAGCTGGAAAAGCAGCAGGACCAGATGGAATCCCAGCAGAGGCATTGAAAGTGGACCCAGAGACAACAGCGGACTTGATGACGCCACTACTGGAGAAGGTGTGGAAAGAAGGCAAAGTACCCAAGGATTGGAAGAAAGGATACTTATTCAAACTACCAAAGAAAGGAGACTTAAGTCAATGCAAGAACTGGCGCGGAATTATGCTCCTGTCCATCCCAAGCAAAATACGAAGCCGCATCATCCTGGAAAGGATCAAACATGCCCTGGATGAAAAACTTCGACCGGAACAAGCTGGATTCAGGAGAAACAAGTCATGTATTGATCAAATCGCCACACTACGGATCATCATTGAACAAAGTTTGCAATGGCAGTCACCTCTCTATCTCAACTTCAACGACTTTGAAAAGGCCTTCGACATCGTCGACCGAGAGGTGATTTGGCAACTACTTCGCTACTACGGAGTGCAGCCAACAATTATACACTTCATTCAACAGTTGCTCGGCAATTCTGCATCCCGAGTAATCCAAAACAGGAAACTTACGGAATCCTTCGAAGTGAAGACAGGGTTGCCTACTATCGCCAATGATTTTCCTGATTGCAGTAGATTGGATAATGCGACAGACAGTCAGCGGGAAATGAGGAAACAGGCATAAAATGGACTCACACAAAGAACTTGGAGGATCTGGACTTCGCCGATGATATATGTCTGATTTCCCACAAACTGGAAGATATGCAAGTGAAAAGTAACAAGTTGGCAGAAGAAGCATCAAAGATAGGACTCCAGGTGAACATAGAGAAAACGGAGGTGATGAAGATTCCTGGCCAACACCAACAGCCACAGCAACAACAACAGACAACAATCAGCATAAATGGAAGGAACCTGAAAGAAACTACCTCCTTTACCTACTTGGGAAGCATTGTTTCAACTACAGGCGGAACTGACGAGGATATCAAAGCAAGAATCGGGAAAGCAAGGCAAGCTTTCATTACTCTCAAGTCTGTGTGGAGGTCAACAGCATTCAGCGTCAAAAATGAGATCCGGATTTTCAACTCCAATGTTAAGTCAGTACTACTATACGGATCAGAGACTTGGCGTGTCACAAAGAGC